AGGAGAAATCAGGAAAGGGCAGAGGTGCGTTGAAAGCGTCAGACTGGGGGGTCCGGCCGAGCTGTAATAGACTGAAGCTCAAATGAATGAGTCTGTCAGGTTGAGGCCGGGCCTTGACTGACTGCTGCTTTCAGCCAGAAACATCCAGCCCAGAGGCCCCTCCGTGCAGGACCGCTTCCCTAATGATGATGCACGACTCTGGGCTCCGCAGGCCCTCCAGGTGGTATGGGTTTCTACGCAAACTGCTGTGGAATGAGAAAGCGAGACCACCTGAATTGCAAAACAAGAGTCCCAACCTCTTGTCACACCGTTTCAATGGGCTGGAGCAAGAAAAGCGGGGTGGAAAGAGCCAAATGGAGGCTGGCGGTTTGAGAAAATCGATTGCGAAAATTAATAAGTGAATTTCCTACAGCACGGCGGGCAGCTCAAACATCTCAATCTCCTTCCTCCTTCCATGAAAAACACATCATTACCATATAAACAAAAGGTTCAAGCAATTTAGCTTGAATTTTACTCTACATTTCAGCCTGATATTTTGTACTTCTGCTAATCAGTTCTGATATATGCTTTGATATAACACACTAAACCTTTACTATATTAAATAACATATAATACATATGTGAAGATGTGGTCAGATATTTTAGAATCCAACACAAAACTACTATATATACTATATATACTCACCGGCCACTTTATTAGGTACATCTGTCTAACTGCTTGTTAACGCAAATTTCTAATTAGCCAATCACATGGCAGCAACTCAATGCATTTAGGCATGTAGACATGGTCAAGAGGATCTGCTGCAGTTCAAAAACGGGAATCAGAATGGGGAAGAAAGGCTGATTTAAGTGACTTTGAATGTGGCTTGTTGGTGCCATACAGGCTGGTCCGACTATTTCAGAAACTGCTGATCAACTGGGATTTTCACGCACAACCATCTCTAGGGTTTAGAGAGAATGGCCTGAAAAAGAGAAAATATCCAGTGAGCGGCAGTTTTGTGGGCCATAGTGATGCAAGAGGTCAGAGGAGAATGGCCAGACTGGTTCCAGCTGATAGAAAGGCAACAGTAACTCAAATAAGCACTCGTTACAACCGAGCTCTGCAGAAGAGCATCTCTGAACACACAACACGTCCAACCTTGAGGCGGATGGGCTACAGCAGCAGAAGAGCACACCGGGTGCCGCTCCTGTCAGCTAAGAACAGGAAACTGAGGCTACAATTCACACAGACTCACCAAAACTGGACAATAGAAGATTGGAGAAACGTTGCTGCTCTGATGAGTCTCCATTTCTGCTGACGCATTCGGATGGTCGGGTCAGAATTTGGTGTCAACAACATGAAAACATGGATTGGATAGATCCTGCCTTGTGTCAGCGGTTCAGGCTGGTGGTGGTGGTGTAATGGTGTGGGGGAGATTTTCTTGGCACACTTTGGGTCCATTAGTACCAACTGAGCATCGTTTCAACACCACAGCCTACCTGAGTATTGCTGCTGACCATGTCCATCCCTTTATGAGCACAGTGTCTCCATCTTCTGATGGCTACTTCCAGCAGGATAACGCACCATGTCATAAAGCGTGAATCATCTCAGACTGGTTTCTTGAACATGACAATGAGTTCACTGTACTCCAATGGCCTCCACAGCCACCCGAACTCAATCCAATAGAGCAGCTTTAGGATGTGGTGGAACGGGATATTCGCATTATGCATGTGCAGCCGAAAAAACTGCAGCAACTGTGTGATGCTATCATGTCAATATGGAGCAAAATCTCTGAGGAATAATTCTAGTACCTTGTTGAATCTATGCAGGAAGGATTAAGGCAGTTCTAAAGGCAAAATGGGGCCCAACGCGGTACTAGTAAGGTGTACCTAATAAAGTGGCCAATCAGTCTA